AAAAAAAAAAAAAAAGAAAAATATGGAAGTGAATTATTTCTGTTTATTTTCAGTACCACTGTAGTGCATATTATATGTCTCTGGTAAAGAACACTGTAAGCCAGCAGTGATTATATGAGCTGAGATAGTTACTTAAGATGCGAGTCCCCCTGTAAAGTGTAAATCCTGCATTGGCAATAAGGAAGCATCCTGGCACAGACTGGATGCTTTTTAAAGTAGTTTGCAGCTCCTAGCAAATGGCACAACCGCTGTCAATCTGAGCCCCTTGGTCTGCCAAGAGTCCAACATCAAGATGAAATAGAACAGCCAACTAAAGATGTCCATTGTGAGAAAATAAGAAGTGGGTTTCTCAGAGAGGAAGCAAGCAGCCAATGCTGGAGGCATGTTTTGTAACACGTTTTATGTATTATTTCTTACTCTGGTCGAGAACTTGCACCGAATGCACTGGAAATTCCTGGAAAAGGCACCCCTTGGCCTACAGAGCTGGACATGTTTGTCTTCCCCAGATACTCTCCCTGAATAGCAGTGGCAGTGTTCCCAGGTTCTCAGCATTAGCCTAGAGCGCCTGTCCTTTGTGACGGACCTGTGGCTGGCAGCGTTGGGCCGCCGCTTCCATAGTTGGGCCCAAAGATTAGGAGAGTCACCCGGATGTTTACTCTCTTTCAAGCTCCTCTGGAAAGTCTTCAGGATTCAGGCTTTTGAACTCACCTGGCATATTGCCCAGGCAACAGTGTCGTTTTGCACCATGGATTTTCATAATTACACAGTGTGCCTCCCCGTCAGTACTTATGCTCTCATAATTTACTCAAGAACCCAAGGTAAACTGCACTGGGGAGATCTGTGCCACTTGTGGACAGAGAAAAGCAAATTATTTTTTAAAGGTGTGCGTCATCCTGTGCAAGTTAGCGGAAGAACTAGCAGTGGCGTTGTTGAGAACACTGCTGCCCCTTTGCCATGGGCTTCCTGCCCAAGGAGGCCTGGTGAGCCCTCTGAGGGATCATTGCTTGACATGAAAACCAGAGAGAGCAGAGAGCTCACATATTTGCAAACTTTTTTTTAATATTTATTTATTTATTTATTTATTTTTCCTTTGCATTGAGTTGCATTACAAATACTGCACTTAGAATATCGAACAAACAAAATACATTGCGGTATTGTCAACCACGTGACTGGGAGTAAATAGAACCCCAAATCATTAGCATAATAGTACATATTTTCAAACTTTTCACAACAAATTTTTTCTATTTTCATAAGCTTATTAAAACATGATTTTCAAATTTGGAACTACGTGAATTTTATTTTATTAAGTCACTTGTGAAAAATAAAACTTTTTGTTTGACTAGCTGTTGCACCTTCAAGATTCAAAATTTTAAAAACATAGTAAGACCAATAAAGGGAGATCCTCTCTCTACGCATCCTACAACCCATGCCCTCAGAACCACCATTGCTAGAAGATCTGCCCATATGCAAGTCAAGCACACTGTGTACTTCTCCTGCCCATCTTCTACACGTGTGCACACCCTGGCAGGCCTCTTACTCATCCTGCTTTCTTGCTGTTCCCAAATTATCATAGAGACTACCCCATTTGTACTAGTCTATAAAGACTGTCTTCATGCTTGCTTTTGTAACAGTATGGTGTTTCAATGTATAGAGTACTTTATAAAGTATTTAGTTTGCTAGTAATGAGTGTTCCAGTTTGGGCAGTTTTTAGCTATCACAGAATACTAACTATACTGAATAATTTCATCTATAATCATTTTGTGCATGTGTAGGTTTATTTGTTTAGACATTCTTAGTAGTAGCCTTGCTGGGCCAAGGTGTATGCACATTTGACATTTTGGTTCAAGTGTTGCTAGATTTGCTATGATAGAAGCTGTACTACATGTTCACCCCATCAACAGCAATAGTACCCATAAATGTGGTATCTCTGTTTCACTCAAGCTCAGGATATTCTCAGATGTCTTTACTTTTACTGATAGGTAGAAAATAGTGTTTTAAGTGAATTTTCAGTTTATATGTTTCCTTATAGGCGTGTACTGTTTCTTTTAGGATGAACATCTTTCCTTTAGGCAAGTGCTATTTGTTTTCTTTCCTATAAACAGACCCTTTGTCCATCTTTTCTTTTGAGTTGCTGTTTTTCTCATGTACAGAAGGAATTTAATATTTTTGATTGTCATTTATAGGACTAATGAACTCTTATCCTTTAATAGGTTGACTACCTTGAAATAGTTCCTGATAGTGGACAGAACCGTGTGGCAATAGCCACTGCTGGAGATCTCGTATATCTGCTAAAAGCTGAAGACTCTGCCAGAACCCTTCACTATGTCTATGGCCAGCCTGTCACGTGTCTAGATGTCTCAGCCAACCATGTTGCTTTTGGTGTGAAGAGTCTGGGATGGGTATACGAAGGAAACAAGGTATAAAATAACAAGATATACAATTAACCGAGAAAAAACAGATTTTCATTTTTTAGAAGACAATTGAAATACTATTTTTTTTTCTTTTCAGACATACTAGGCAGCATATCAGTATATGCATAAACACTTCAGAAGGACTTAAAAGTGCTTATTCCCTTCCTCCAATCCAACTGTACAGAAGAAACTATTAATAATTTTTAATTATCCATGTGGAAAAGTTCAATGCATAAATATCTACATTTGTGTATTGAATGTACCTTTGTAGAAATGGGATGATAGTATACATGCTATTCTGTATCCAGTATTTTTACTCAATAATTTGCCTCAGAGAGCATTCCATGGCAGCGTGTGCCAAGCATCCCCTCCCTAGGATTCCAGCATGAGCTCCCTACTTCATATGGCCCCCTCCCTTGTGGTGTTTAGTCTGCTTTCAGTGCTTTAGCCATCATAGACAATGCTGTAATGCACTTTGCAACTTGTGAAGGTTCTTGTGTAGTTCTCTAGGATGTGCATTAGGTTGCTGACAAACATTGCCAAACTGCACTCTAAAAGGATTTCATCAAAATTTACATTTTCACCAACAGTGCATAGATGTGCCTTCTGATATCCTGTAAGCCAAAGCAGAGAGACAAGTTGTAATTGAAAATTCTTTGAATGATGACTAAATTATATCACTCTGTAGGTTTTTACTGTCTTGTCAACTAAGTACTTAGTTTTAAAGCTGATTTATTGAACTCTGTTTCTTCTCAAATGGATCAGGGGAGAGACAGCAAAAAAGTTCTTGTTTAGTTGTCAGTTTCTTCCTATTTGCCTGCTCCTGACCCTGCTGATAGTTGGGGTGTTTGGGAAAGAATATCTCTGAGCCAAATCTCCTTTGAAGATAGCCTTCTCCCAACGAAGGAAGAGGCCCCTTGCCACATAGCAGTAGTGTGAGTGTGAGAAGCACCAGGCTTTGGGTGCATGTAGCCCTACCACATACCACTGTGTAACTATGCAGGCTACTTCACCCTATTTTTGTCTGTTTCCTCATTTGTGAAATGGAATTCATAGTGGTATTTGCTTCATAGAACTGTAGGATTAAATGAAACTGTGTGTAAAGCTGTAAGCTTTTGAGCATCAGTGCCCAGCACACATGAGGTCACTCTTGCTGTGTGCTTCTTGTTTCTACCACTCATAGTTGGATTTGGGTCTCTGGTGGTGCTTCTTACATCTTATTCCCCCTGTGTATTTTGTGTATCAGAGCATATCTCATTTGTATAGGTGCCACTTTATATAACCCAGTAAATTCTCAAGAATTGAAGAATCTTAAATTCCAATCACATATTCTCCACCCAGGAAGATGAATACACAATAGAGTGTACCTGTGGCATAGTGTGTTCTCTCAGGGCAGCCCCCTTGTTGGGTCACTCTTGTTTTGTTGGAGCAAATCCAGAGTCTTAGCTGAAAGCTCTGTGATGATCTAACTCCTGAGGCTTGTCTTCCCAGGAAGGGGGAAGGAGCTAGAATTGGTTTCCTAAGGCAGTTAGTTTCCTTTCTCCAATTCTCAGAAAACTATTTTCTGAGCTTGTTTGTTGAGAAAGTAAAAACCATGTACTTCCTAATTTTTTATATTAAACTTTAAAATTTTTGACATCTCAGTCATTTTTAGAGTTCTCAGCACAGTGCAGTAATAGTTGTATTTAACACTAATGTGGTTTAAATTTTTCATATTTTAATCTATTTTTTGGTGCTGGGGGTTGGACCCAGGACCTCACACATACCAAGCACATGTCATACTGTGCTACACCCCCATTTCCCCTCATATTTGCAACACACCTTTCATCGGGTGGATCCTGTCTCTTTTTTGACTTACCTGAGTATATCTATTCTTGTAGCGATACAGTCTTAGCAGATACTTTTTGAGCCATCTTCCCGGCCCCTCTTAGCAGAGACATTTGAGAAACTAAATTGTAAAGGGTTACTTCAGCACAATAGACTGGCAAGACCCTTAAGATACAGATGTAAGTAGGCATGTTTTGGATGTCTCAGGTTTTCCTATTAAAAACATTAATCATGGAAATCCACTGATTGCTAAACTGATTTTTAAAAAATTCATGCTTAAAATTATATAGACTCTTAAATAACCTATCTGATATTTTTCACTGGTGTTAAAATTAGGAGTGGAGAGCCCAGGGAAATAGCCCAGTAGAATAAGTGCTTGCCTGGCAAGTGCAGAGTCCTGAATTCAATCCCCAGTACTGCAAAAAAATAATAGGAGTGGAAGTCAGTGGGCTACAAGACCATTTCAGAACGTCGGCTCAGAGGCTGACTGTGGTGTCTGGTCATTCACACACTTTGTGAGTAGAGCAGCAAGCCTCTAGCTGCGTGTTGGTGGCTGTCTGGAAGTAACTGTGTGCCACGATATTTCTCCGCATGAGTGCCACCCACTCAAGAGTAAGACGTATGCCAGGCTTCTTCTGCATAACTTTTCTCATTTTTGCAGAGGCACAACTTTGCATCTGATTATCTTTATTGGATTTTCTGTTTCCTCAGAAAAAACCTGTGTTTTAAAGAAATATAATTGTTGTATAAAATTTCTGTGTGGATTAAGCCATGGATGGCTCTGTGAAATTTTAGTATCATCCTGCTATGCTATAATGTGATGTCATAATTCCCAAATAGTTTTATGTACAAGGCTCAGGGGCACTGTGCTTGTGATGCTATGTTCCGGCTGTTTGTGCTTCAGCCTGGCAGCGTGAGTCCCCACAAGTTTTATTAGGTGGGTATGAGGCCATTAGCAGTGGAGTTTTCCTGGAGCTGTAGACACGTTGTGCTTTGTGCCTGTGCCTCTGGCGTCCATATTCAGCATTCAGAAAGTCTTTCAGGGTTTGCTTAATTTTTGTTTGTACCTGATAAAGAAATGAGGTATAGCTGTAGTACAGTACTGACTAACTATGATGAAAGGAAACTGAAATCCAAATGCTAAAAGAGAAACAGAGTCAGGAGCACAAATCTCCTAGCCTAGAAACACTTCAGAAGTGGTGGTGTTTAGCTGGAGAATGCCCTCACACCCATGCTGGCCACATTAGCATCTCCTAGACCCCACAACTGCATGAGCATTGAATAATAATAGTTGGAATTCATCCTTTCAATCTAGCCAGCCAGCCTGTCATGTAGTCATCATGAACACTTACTGAGGATCAGTTGTGTTCCTGGTGTTGCATTTCTAAACAGCATGATGTACAGATTTCAGCAAACTGGTAGTTGTGAAGAAACCATGCTCTGTGGGTTTTTTTTGTTGTTGTTGTTTGTTTTTGTTTTTGGGAGGGGGGGAACGGGATTGAACTAAGGACCATGCTGTTAATAAACATACTTTTCTAAGGAAGCAAGTAATTCAGCGAAAGTTGACCTACTTTATCTTTTAAAGAAAGACTTAAGAATATGGGCTCCCTCCAGCTCAGGGAGGAAGGGCTCAGAGACTTAGTGCTGTGGACATCAGGGTTTGCCAGTGAGACAAGGCTTCCCTGACTTGGATTTCAGAGGTCAGAACGTGGGGAGCCACATTTGTCTTTGCCGTCATTTTCTTTGGCCACATAAAGTCACGAAAGAAATAGTTATTACCTATTTTTATCCTTTCTTAAGATATCAGATTTTTTTCCTCTGTATTTAGGACGGGTTTTACAGGGTCTACAGGGTCTCACTACGTAGATCAGACTCGTAGTGATTCTCCTGCTTTCAGCCTCCCAAGTGCTGGGATTACAGGTGCATACCACCACGCCCAGTCTCAGTTGCCATCTCAGCGCACCCTGCAGGTGGGGTCAGCATAGCATGTCGAGGATCGAACCCTGGCCACTGTGTTCTGCCTAAGCAGGCATTTTAGTCCGCTGAGCTATCAGGCCGGCCCTAATAAATCTATTTTTGTAATTATATACACACTCTCCCAGGTCCTCTGTTCCCCTGGAGAATCATAGTAAGCCTTTGCTGACTTCCCCTCTGCTCCAAACTGAATTTGGTGACTACATTACTTTTCTTGAGCTGCCATAACAAAACATCACAGACCTGAGTGGCTTAAGCAACAGAAATTTTTATCAATGTTCTAGAGACTAGAAGTCCAATATCAGCGTATCAGCAGATTGATTTCTTTCAAAATTCTTTCCCTGACTTGGAATGACGACCTTCTCAGTATGTCCAAGGAGAGATCTAGCACATATACCTTTTATTTATTTATTTATTTATTTATTTATTTTTTTTTTTCCACATATACCTTTTGACTGGGTAATACATCCAGAAATCAAAAGACATAATGTGTTATATACACATGCCAACTCCCCACAAGGAATGTAATCATTATGTAATGCAAACATGAACTACTAAAAAATAAAAACTGAAAAAATCTACAATAGGAAAAAATAAAAATAATAAACATGACAAAAAAGACATCAGAAGGGGCTGGAGAGATGGCTCAGTGGTCTAAAGCACCTACTTAGAACAAGCTTGGCAAAGCATTGGGGACCGCGGTTCAATCCCCCAGCACCACATGCCAGCCAGCCC